CCGCCCCGGCGGCTCGCCGCCCTGCCCCTCGGCCGCCGTCCTGGGCTGTGGCGGTGGAAAGCGGCCAAAGGGTCCCTCCCCGGCAGCTCCGGCGCAGCCGGGGCCTCTGCGGGGGCTCAAAGGGAGCTTTGTGCTGGAAACGCCGCCTGCCCGGCCACGGCCTCGCCGCCTGCTTTGGCTCAGATCCCCCCAAAATCCCCCCTGGATGCAAGACCCCGACTGCGCACGGGGGGTTTGCCCCCCGTGTGCTGCCAGAGGGGCACGTGCGCCTCCCTCGGTGGAGGGGCTACTGGAAAGTGGCTCTGGGCATCAGACTTTACTTGCCAACGAGCCCTTCAGCTGGGAGAGCCGGGGCAGGTGATGGAGCCGGGTGCCAGGTACCAACGCGGGGACCCACAGCCCCCACCGGGTTACACCACGGGGTTCCACGAGCGCTGCAGACGGGATCTGGGAGCTGGAGAGAGACGGAGAAAAGAAGTGGAAAAACAAGTTTGGGAAAACCTCCCCAACTGACCTGGCTGCGTCCCGCTGGCACAAGCAGGGCTGGAGGTGGCTCAGGCTTCGTCCACGGGAGCAAACGCCAGCGGAGGCGTCCGCGCCGCAGTCGGATGCAGCCACCGTTCAGGAGGTGGAGGGTTGAACTGGGAGCGGGATCGACATTTTCAAAGCCCCCATCTTTGGGGATTTCTTTACCCCTGGAGCGCTCATGTTTCGGGCAGAGCGCGGGGAGCCGCAGCGCCCCGGGACGAGCGGCTCAAATCCACCACGCTCGGTAGGAAGAGCCGCGGGCGCGGGGCTGATCCGCACGCAGGGCTCTGGTGCGCCGGCAGCCCCGGCCAAGGGGAAGCTGCGTTTCTCCGGTCGGCGTTGCCAGGAGGTGGGTGGGAGGGTTTGGGGTCTCCTTGCCTGCCTGCAACGGGACCTGCTCTGTCTCTGCAGGGACGCGGGCCCTGGTGCTGAAAAGCTCCTCCAAAATAACCCAGGCGAAGCACAGCGAACCCCGGGCGGGGACCTATTCGGGGCAGGGAAATCGCATCTCTGTGCAGGGAGAAGCGGGAAGCGGAGGCGCAGAGGAGAGGAATGGCCGGTGAGCGGAGCTGGAGAGAGGGGGACTCCGGGCCTCTCCGAGGACTCGGTCCCCCAGTGAGCGGGACCAGGCGTCCCAGCTCCTGCTCGGTGTTGTCAGGCTTTGTCCTGCTTCACTTTCGCAGGAGCAAACCCCTCGGTTCGCTTCCAGCGCGAGGGGCGTGGGCCAGACCCGCCGCGACGGGGCACCCCGTGCAGCAACCCGCCGCCCACGCCGACCGCCAAGGGCGGCGCAGAGGTGGTTAACGGGGCAGGTTGCACAGCCACAGCCCCCGCCGAGGCCGCCAACGCCGGGCAGCGCCTTGGCACGGCCTTCTCGAGCTGGAAGAGGCGTTTCCAGCCCCTTTGGAGGGGCCGGAGCCGGCAGTGACAGGTCCCTTTTGTGCCACCGCAGGCAGCGGCGTTGGGACGCAGGGCACGTCTCGCCCCGCGGGAAGAAGTCGCCCATGGCTTATTCTCCCACCGGGGACTGAAAGGCGGATTCGCCTTTTCGCAACCTCCCTCTCCGACCTTCCCGCTGCTGGCAGCCTCCAAAGAACTGGAGAGGGAGAGTAAATTATATTGGTGGCCACGCTTTCCACTAGCAGAGCAAATAAAGGAGCTTTGGTGTGAACGAATACAGGGAATGGAAGACTTTTTGTTTCTTTCCTCCCCCCATAAAACACGGCCCCCCAAATTCCCTGGTCACCAGTGCCCGGCGTGGACCCTCACAGCGCCTGGCTGCGAAGGGGCTGCCCAGCTCTGCCCCTGAAACCGAGCCCCTTAAAGGCACCTCGAATTAACACTTCAAAATCAAGCATTTTAAAAAACGTACACTTTTCCAACCCGTTTTAAATCCAAGCGGAGAAGACGCCCGATAAACTGTGGTTATTTTTGCCGATCACAACGTTGCGGGGGTTGGGGGTGCTCTCGTGGGCAGCAACATGCGGAGTCCTGGCACGAGGACGAACTCGCCCCGAACCACAAAGGCAGCGAGCAAAGGAACAAAGGAGAAACTATTCCTGGTAGAGGGATAAGGAAGGGACCCACCTACATCTCATCCTATCAAATCCGAAGCAAACCAAGGTTATGCCTTCCTTCACCCGAGTCAAAAACCATTCAAAGGGGTTGGGAATGGCAAAGCTGTTTGTTTTTGGTTTTTTTTTTTCTGAAAAGCAGAAAGTTTGGTCAGCAAAGCGCACGCTTGAGGGTGGATTCGCGTATCAAAAACGTACGCGGCTCTGGGGCTGGGTGGGAGAAACGCGGGCTGGGCTGGAATCACCACAGAAGAAGAGGTACAAACGTCTCGTATTTTATTAAGCTAGTCGATGTGTTCAGATCACAGTCAAGACACGTGCCGTGAGAGCCCCCGAGCTCCTCCTCGTCCCAGCTGGGGTCCAACCGCGGGCCCCTCGGTCCCCCAGCGAGAGCTATCGAAGCACAAATCCACAGGCTGGGCTTTTTTTGTGCTACAAAAGGAGGAGGGAGGGAAGAGCTGATTGTCCCTCGCCTCAAACCAAGCAACAGCCCTCTCCCTGCCAGCAGCCGGAGGCAGGACCGGTGTGCCGAGCCTCCTGCCTTTCTCCGTTCTCGCGGGCACCCCGTTTTCCCCACCTTATTTTCTGCCCCAGCCAGACCGGCTAGCTCTGCTAGACATCAAGAAGGGAAAAAAAAAAAAAAAACCCACATCTAAAAAGCAAGGGAAAAACCAAGGCAGCGCAGGGGGGGGG